GAGTCCACGGTGTAAGCCACCGCCCTCAATCTCTCAAAGTCACCCTTAACCCATGCCCTGAACTCTCCAGCTTCAAGCCCCAAACACGTGGACACCCCATGGTGCTTTCCCTCTTCCCGGACCCCAGCCAGGTCCCCACATCTCACCAAAATTCCCACCAAAAGTGCAGGGGTGTCTTAGCCAGAAGCTAGGAGGAACGCCCAGCTGAACAGAGGGAGCAACTCAGCGCATCCCCGCAAAACTTGGGGTGAACCAGCTCCTACAGCCCCGTGCTGGAGCCCAACGAAGCCAGGCACCTTGAAACTTATAAATCGCTAGCCCAGGCGTGGAACCATACCCGGCCCTTTGCCGAAGGCCCTCTCAGAGCTCTGCACTCGTGGGTGTGCAGCGTGTCAGCTGTGTGGGTCCGAGGATTTGGGGTGGGGGTCCACGCCTGGATGGAGTCCTCACGCCTGGGCCACACTCACCTGAGTTTCCGTGAGGCTGAGGCTGTGCGCCAGCTGCTTCCTTTCAGCGCCCACCACGTAGTGATTCTTCTCAAAGGCGTGTTCCAGCCTTAGAAGCTGGGACGGNCAGCGCCCACCACGTAGTGATTCTTCTCAAAGGCGTGTTCCAGCCTTAGAAGCTGGGACGGCGAGAAGGCGGTTCGGATCCGCTTCGGCTTTCGGGCCAGCGCGTTGTGCAAAAGGAAACTCTCTGGGCTTGTGTCGTTCCCTGCGGGAGGGAAGCGCAAGAGAAGTCCCATTAGAGGGGTCCCTCTGGCCAGAGCCGCGCGCTTCTCTCGAGCCGGGCTGACCCGGCACAGCGCTCAAGGCCTTCGCATAGCCTCACCGCCCGACCTGCGGGGCCCGGTGGCCATCCAAGGGCGCGCCAAGGGAACGACTGCCCAGCTGCCCGGCCCGGACCGCCAGGGTTTCACCTGTGCGGTACCCAAGCGACAGCTGCCGCAGCGGGGCCAGTCCCCAGGCTCCTGACCTCGCAGGCTCCACAGGCGCGCTGGCGCCGCGGGCCTCTCCACCTCCGCTCCGGGCGCCCGGAGCAGGGGAGGGAGCGGCAGAGCCCGGTCCGGGGATTGGCGCCCAAGACCCAAAGGATCGGCTTTCTCTTCTCCTAACCTCTCGGGGAACTTTGACCCCAGGGTGGAGAAGCGGCAGGCCGCTATCCAGAGTTTCTCGGGGACTTATTTCAAACTTATTTGTCTTGTTACTACTCCGGGAAAGTACAGAGAGCGGGCGAGTCGCTGCAGCCCGAACGGGACAGAAACCTCGCCGGCGGGTGTGCCTGGCTTCTGCCGCTGCTGCCTCCCGAGGACCCGGCCCGGGGCTCCCGGCTCCAGAGAACTAGAAGACAGACGCGAGCAAACGGATCGAAACCGGGGGTACTGAGCTGCGGGCACCCGCTGGGACGGTCTGCAGCCCCGGAAGATCCGGCTGCTCCGGGTCTGGTCGGGGGACCAAGAGCGTGGCTAGCAGAGAACGAGAAAGTTGAGCCCTAAACTTGGCGAGCAAAGCCGGAGAGTTGTGGATTCACTCACTAGTGTAGAAAATCGATTCACCAAAAACCCAAACAAAGAAATACAAACCGACAATCCAGAAGGGAATGGAGGCAAATCCAGTCCAGGACTACGGGCGAACGGTTTTTTGGTTTGGTTTGTTATTTTTTAATATATATATATTAGGGGGAGGAGGGGGGTGACATCTACACGATTCGAGGCTCTGGCGGGAACGCAAAGGGTTAATGACTAGATAAGCCACTGAGTATTGATCGGCTGCCGCTGGAGGTAGGTCTTGTACCGACTCCGATCGGTAAACTAATTACTCGCCCTTTTTTCTAAAGTTTTTACTTTCCTCCCACCCCCCACCCAGAGCTGCCTCTGGGTGATAAGTTTCTTTTTTCTTGGCTTATCTGGAATTTTCCCTTTGATGTTAAAAAACAAACAAATTTTAAAAAGAAAGAAAGAAAAGAAAAGAAAAGAAAAGAAAAGAAAAGAAAAGAAAAGAAAAGGAAAGGAAAGGAAAGGAAAGGAAGGGAAAAACAACAAATAAAAACACCCAAATAGATCTTCCCCTCCCAGGCCGTCTCCCGACCCGGTTCATTTCTCTAAAAGGAAAGAAAAACAAAAACCAGACCGAACCTGCCTTCCCGCCACGGCCGCTCGGCGCCCCAGTTAAGCAGGTCGCGGCGAGAGCTGCGAGCCCCGGAGGTTTCTACCCGCGCGGGTTCCCGCCCCTCCCAGGGCTTCCAAAAAAACAGGAAAAAATAAACCCTCATACTTTGCTCCGGGGGCGCGAGGGTCTTTTGGCCTCCGGAAGAGGGTCGAAGACCAAGAAGTCGCGGGCCTAGGCTGCAGGGGCGTGGAGCGGGTGGCGAACAGGCTCGAACACAGTCGAAGACGAACCTGGCGGCCGGGCACCGTTCGCGCACCTCTGCACCAGGGCGGCCGTGGACATCACCGAGGGGACCGGGAGCCTGGGGACCACGCCGGCTCTGACAGCCCTGGCGGCGGGCATGCAGAGCGGGCTGTCCCAGCCGGCACCGACCCGGTCGCACTCGGGGACAACTTCTCTGTCCGCGTCCCTTTCTAAAAGGTCAAGCGGCCGGCGGGGCCAGCTCCCCAAACTGGCCGTAGCTTCGGAGAATGGGAATCAACGCCGCGCCGGCCCCTCGCCGCCCACTTTCCGAACAGGGCGCGCGGGCCCCGAAAGCCGGAGGAACCTCCGCCGGGGCCTTGCCAGGCGCCCACCCCGAGCAGGCCGGGGACAGCGAAGGATGCGGCGGGAGCCGCGCGCTGCAGTCCCGCGACGTGGCACGTACCTTGGAAGCGATGACCCAGATATCGGTAGCGGTGGATGAGCCAGGGGTAGAAGGTGGACGGGTCCCGCTGCTGCGAGGCGAAGAGGGGGTGTGGCGAATGCGAGGAGGGCAGGGGGTGGGCGGCCAGGGCGTGCGGCGGCGGC